TTCAAATATATTCCGATTTTAATAGCGGACTATTTTCCATGACGCACTTGTAAAGAAATCATGTGAGGTCGATCCCGAATATTGTTCAATTTCTTTGTAAGAAAAATTGGCTCGGGATCGAAGTCCTCGGCCGAACAACTCTATGCGTATAGATGTCGTCTTTTCCCGCGCTAACGCCATAGACAAAGAAAACAACAACAACGACGTAAATATTTGGAAAATAAGGTATGTTACACTTAAGATCGTTTTAAAGTAATATGGCAGAATGAAAAATTTGTAGCTGTATGCCCGAATTGCGATAATGAAGTAGTTAAAGAACAGGAAATGTGGATTTGTGATAATTTGGCATTCCGAATTTTCTCGGGACAAAAAAACCGATGTATAGGGGTCGTATCAAAATATGAAAGTTGTGTTCAAATGGAGGGGTACATTTCAAAATGCAAATATGGGAGTGGGGGTCGTCTCAAAATGTGTAAACACGAGGAATCTCGGATCATTTGAGATATAGCAAACAATGTCAATGGTAGTTTGCCAATCTACATATTCTTATCAAAAATTAAAAAAAAAGTGTACTGGTAGGTAGCTGGGAATATATGGGTCTGTGAAAATTCTTGAAATTCATCTGAAAATTTGAGTCAATGTTAAATAAAAAAAAAAAAGCTGACTGCGTCTTATGCCAAAAGAAGAATGTTTACTTATATGGTTTATTTTTTGCAGAACTGGAGGCAACTTCTGTTGTTAACTTGAAGCCAGGATACTCAAATCTCTATTTGTAACTGAGATTAAGGAAACCGCTGATGAAAATCACTTGGTGGGTTAAGGATTCTATGTGTAGGTGACATGCTGCAGCTTAAGCTAGTTTGTGGATCATATATTTTTCAACAAACGTCTATGATTCCATACGATTTGTGGAAGACTTTATTTAAAGTCAAATTCTTAACACAAAACTTCAGACAATCGGAGGATAGTGTTTATGCTGATCATTGTTAAACAGAGCCAGAGTTGGCATAATGACTGCAGAAAGATATAAAATTACTAGGCTTAAATGGCAGGCAAAAGATAAATCTCCAACATGAAGAGTGGCAGAGTGCAGTGCATTTGTATCCAACCAGAAAACAGTGTGAAAAATAAAATGAAAACTAATTACAAAAAATTACTGATTCTTAGTACCAATCATGTTTTTAAAATTTCCAGTAAAGATTTATTTCAAGTAAATGGTTATACGGATAATTTGAGTAATTATGTTCCATCACATCTTCTTCCTAAGGATGATAGACAGTGTGAAGGTTTACCAACAGTCCTAAATCTTGCTGTTGGCTCACGAGTGATGTTAATAAAAACATTATGTGATCAGAGTACATATGGTAAATGGGGCAACTGGAATAGTAACTGCATTCAAACTTAAAAATGTTGAACTACGTATAACAACCAGGAAGTGAAAATCCTTCAGAAATAATGGTGAAATTTGATGACCCAAAAGTTGGAGCTATTTTTCAAAGTTCCATGGAACACCAATCAATACCTATTTCAACAATTTCTTCACATTTTACTCTTAAAACTGGACAAATAGTTCTTTGAACACAGTTTCCACTAATTCCCTCTTGGGCAGTTACAATACACAAAGCTCAAGGAATGACTCTAGAACATGTTGTATAGGACATTGGAAAAAAAATATTCCAACAGGGGATGGCGTACGTATGTTGGCTTATCGTGTGTTAAAAATTGTCCGGATTGGCCTTGGTAGTCTTCTCTACTTCCTCAATAACAGCACCAACCGATGCTTTAACTGAGATGAATAGACTTCAAAACTCTCATATTTAATAAATATCAAGTGACATGACATTTTGATAATTTGATCATAAAGTCATTATAAAACAGGCAAAATTATTTAATTTGTGAGTTGGCATATTGTATTTTTTATTCTCCATGCTGTTCTATACCATTTCTAATGTCTTTTTTTTTGCTCAAATTTTCTGCAATTTAATAAATCAAAACTTTTTGTCATTGTCATTAATTTTTTGTTTAATAATTTTGCTTTCTACAGCTTGAGTAACTCTGACGTTTTGTCAGTATATACTTGTTTTTTCTGCCAAGACACTTAACTTTGATTATACCCCGATACATTCATGAATACCTTTTCAAAAAATAAAAACACATGTGCTTGCCAATAAGATTTCTTTGAGTTAACTCTACATTCATTAAAAACAGGTTTCTCTTGGGGTTTATGGCATACCTGGTTGAAAAAGACATTTTCAAGAAAATCAAAATTTCATTTCTGATGGTGGGTCACACCCACGAAGATATTGATCAGGTTTTTTCTAAGTATGTATCCAAAAAATATTTAAAATATTTCAACACATTAATTTCATTTGATATTTAACTAGAGAGTAGTGTTTGAATATATACGCTTGTAGAAAATGTAGGCGTTACTCCATTATAGCATACTCAATTAATGATAATCCTCCCAATTATATTTTGCATGCATAAATTCAATATTACTTGTATACAAATTAAAGGTTATAAATTTTACAGGTTTAGTCACTGGTTGGGGAGGCATGCAGCTGTAACAGTGGAGAAGCTTATGTCGGGTTTTGAGAAGTGTTTTACCCCCCAGCCCACCAGTATTAAAGCCATATATGGCGTAATTGATCAAAAAAAATATTTTTGAAAAATATAAAATTAAGTAAAGAAATACAATTAATACATTCAAATCAAAGCTTTTCATATAACTCTGAACACGGAGAACACCTCGTCTCGTCTAAAAATACAATTTTATCTTCTCTGTAATGTGTTATTTAAATCTTTAGTATTTTCTTCCGATACGGAGAAAATTCCGAGAATCAAATTTAAATTGTGATATCTTTATAGCGCAATTGACTTAGATTTTGTAATTTACGGAAAAGTTCTATCTTTATATAAAGTAATGATACAAATAATAAGTTCTTATGATTTTAGTCTAATAATTTTCATTGCACATACGCCATATATGGCTTTAAAACTGATAAAGTCTTCAACATTACCGAGTGGCTCACACTATACATGAACACAATAAAGAATCACTCCCATCCCCATGTGTTCAAAATTCAGAAGATTGATTTGATTGATTGATTTCATATTGTTTAACGCCAAGTCGGCAATATTTCAGCCATATTTTGGCGGGCAAGTATTAACCGGTTTGTGAAAGCTTTTGGTTTCTCTGGCGGCCCCCAATGAGCCTACTCTTTATCGAACTCCAGAGAAACGGTCTTTTGCGTGCCAAGGGGGTTGCTATCCTTGACACGGGGCACCATTTAATGTCCCATCCGACGGACTTGAAATTTAAAAATATGTAAACTGTTAAAAATAAAATCATCTAAATACATCCCATAAAATTACTCTAGTCATTTCTATATTTTATTGTAAAAATCAGTTTCATGTAAATATTCCAAAATTGCATGTACATTGACATTTTTAAAAAGGTCATATATCGTTTTTGCGTTACCAAAAAGTCTACTTCGAATTGGAGAAAAGTCAGAACATTCTAATAAAATATGATTTATTCAGAAGAAAGAGAGTGGGAAAGCAAAGATCTGGTGGAAAGAGTGGTCGACCGACAAGATCAATAACATGACCCTTTCCTACACTGTACAAGTCTATTTAAAGAACGAGATAACTACTTTGCAGTCCTGTGAAACAGAATAAAATAATTCATAAAACTAACATACATCTCCACATGTAACACTAGTGACACATTTGCTTTATTCATGTAGACCAAAAACTTGAAGTCGTAAGTTTTGTAAGGGTATGACTAAAAATTCAGATTTTTTTTAAATGCATGGAAATTCATCTCGAGATAATGTGAGCACTGTGCTCTGTGCTCACTAAATGATACCCCTGCCTTCCACATTATACCTGGTAATAACAATAAAGTCCATGTTTTGCACTGTGAGACCGGAATATATTCAGTTTCAGTTTCCTTATTTCTTTAAGCCAACTGGCCCATCAGAGTTATACAACAAACATGATAATAACAAAAAGAAAAAACATACAGAGAGATTGATCGTTAAGAACACATACATGGAAATAATTCTATACATCAATTTCATTTTTTCTTAACATTGTTGCTGCGTTTAAAACTTTGCCAAAATTTACGAGATCTTTAATATTATGAGAACTTCAAATTTAGTAGGAACACGTATAATTACTTAGGCCACACCAATAAAAAATTTTGCTCGTCGGACCCGCGCGCTCGTATTTTAACAAAACTATACAAATACTATGCACACTTAACTAAAATCGACAATATTTACTCTTTTATAAGAAATGGAATCGAACCAAGGAGCCCTTGTTGAAATACCAGGTGAAGGGAGAGCCAGAAGTAATCCAGCCAAATTATCAAGAAATCAAAGAGAATCTGGAAAAACTACAAAATGACGTCCGGGCCAGCTTCAAGTAGTTTGGAAAGGATGAGGACAAGAATTGGTGGACGTCATTTTTTAAGAATTACGATGATTGGGGTATAAGGGTAATCAGATTTATCCGGAACTTATATGCTATGTTACGATTGGTTCTATCTTTTATTTTTTGTGGACATGTGCTATCCTAGGTATGTGCACTAATTTATTGTTTATTTGATCAGTCTATCATTCAACAATCAATTTCATAGCACTCAAATATGAATTGCTTTTGTTTCAGATGACTGTGTTCATTGCGTATTAAACATATGAAGCAAATAGACATCGTTCTTATTTATGAACACAGTCTCATCGGCACCGGAAGCAAACAAGTCTACTTTCACTTTCAATAACAACAATGCCAAAAATCAAGTGTCCCATCCCCGACTGTGAATATGAAACTGCAGACCTAGAAGCTGCCATCGTGGCTTCCCTACTTACAGTTCACAGCACCATCCACTCATCTTTAAACGCACCTACCGCTAAAATAGAGAAAGTTAAACGCCCTTCCATATCAGCAGCTGGTACTAGTGAGGAATGGTCATACTTCATGTCAAGATGGTCCGACTACGTCAGCGCCACTAAGATTGAAGGCCGTGACAAAGTTGTTCAGCTCTTGGAATGCTGTGACGAACCCCTCAGGAAAGACCTCACACGATCTACTGGAGGCAGTCTCACAGATAAAACTGAGGAAACTATACTTTCAGCCATCAAAAAACTTGCTGTACGCGAAGAAAACACGATGGTGGCTAGGGTCACTCTCCATAAATGCGTCGAAAGACAGATGATGAACCAGTGTGTCAATTTTAGTCAATTCAGTGTATAAATAATATGCGTCAAGACAGGGATGAACCAGTGCGTAATTTTAGTGCTAAACTTCGTGGGCAAGCAGGAGTCTGTAAATTTGTAATCACATGCCCCAACTGCAATCATGAGGTAAATTACACTGACACTATAGTTCGTGATGTACTTGCACGAGGCATAGCTGACCCTGACATTCAACTTGACCTCCTCGGGGACAAAAACCAAAACATGACTTTAGAGGAAGTCACCCAATTTGTTGAAGCCAAGGAAGCAGGAAAACGGTCTGCCTCTCGACTATTAGACACAAACGCTGCAGCAACTACTAGCTGTTATAAGAGGACAAAGCAAATAGCACTGAAGGACAAGAATGAAACATGCTCCTACTGTGGGAAAAAAGGTCATGGCAGACATGCACCAGCTCGTACCCGCAAAACAGAATGTCCTGCCTATGGTCACAAGTGCGGACATTGCAACAAGGACCATCACTTAGAGGCTCTTTGTCGAAGCAAAGACAAGGAAAAACTCCCTACAGCCTCTACAGACACCCACAGCTATGAAGGTGGTGTATTTGAATCCCTCTGTGTCCTATCCGACATCACCTCCAATCACCACTCAAACAAATCAATCGCATTAGATCATCATCTTTATGACCATCTATCAGACACATGGATCAGAAAGCGTTCCAAACCTCAACCATTCATCAATCTTATTATCAAATCCTTACCTGAGGACCACAAAGCACTGGGTTTCTCATTGAATGCACCACAAAGAACCATAAAACTCCCAGCTATGGCCGACACAGGATGTCAGAGCTGCCTGGCAGGAATTAAGGTTATCCACAAACTGGGACTTACAAAATCTGACCTCATTCCAGTGACAATGAAGATGCATGCTGCCAACAATAGGGGCATTACAATCCTCGGAGCAACCATCCTTCTCATATCTGGAATAGACAACCATGGCAAGCCAGTCGAGACCAGGCAAATGACATATGTGACTGACAATTCTGATAAACTATTCCTTAGTAGAGAAGCTTGTGTTGCACTTGGAATCATTCCAGACACTTTCCCTTCAATTGGTAACTGCAGTGAAAATATGATTACAACAGATTCACCTCAGGAGACACAAAACTGCCAATGCCCAACGCGACAGCCGCCACCACCACTTCCAAGAACACTCCCATTTGCAGCAACAGACAACAATCGACTTAAACTCCGTGATTTCCTACTGAACCACTACAGGTCCAGCACTTTCAACACTTGTGAACACCAAGCCCTACCACTAATGAGAGGACCTCCAATGCGTCTGATGGTGGAGCCTGACGCCAAACCTGTTGCTCACCATACACCTGTTCCTGTTCCGATTCATTGGCAAGAGGAAGTCAAGGCAGGACTGGATCAAGATGTACAACTCGGAGTCATAGAGCCTGTACCTATCGGCGAACCTGTGACATGGTGCCATAGAATGGTTGTGTGTGCAAAGAAAAATGGCAAACCCCGCCGCACCGTAGACTTTCAACCTCTCAATGCATACGCTACCCGTGAAACCCATCACACCCCCTCGCCATTTCACCAAGCAAGACTTGTCCCTCACGACACAAGGAAATCAGTTTTAGATGCCTGGAATGGATACCACAGTGTTCCCATCCATCCAGATGACCGACATCTTACAACATTCATAACACCTTGGGGCCGATATCGCTACAAGACTGCTCCACAGGGATATATTGCTTCCGGCGACGGCTACACCAGAAGATATGACGAGATCGTTGCACACATACAAAACAAAACTAAATGCATTGATGATGTTCTGCTTTGGGCCAATTCCCTTGAGGACAGTTTCTTTCAGGTCGCACAGTGGCTAGACATTTGTGGACGAAATGGCATTACCCTCAATCCAGAGAAATTCCAGTTTGCACAAGACACTGTTGACTTTGCAGGCTTTGAAATCTCTTCAAACAGTGTCCGTCCATGCGCGAAATACTTCAATGCCATCATGGATTTCCCAACCCCTCAAAACATAACTGACGTACGCTCTTGGTTTGGACTTGTTAATCAAGTTTCATATGCATTCAGCATGGCAGACAAGATGACTCCTTTCCGACAGCTACTCAAACATAATGCACCATTTGAATGGAGCACCGAACTTGACAATCTCTTCCAAATTTCAAAAAAGGCTATCATCAAAGAGATCGAGCATGGGGTGAAAATATTTGATCGCAGCAAACCTACTTGCTTAGCTACAGATTGGTCAAAAACTGGTATTGGATTTTGGCTGTTCCAAAAACATTGCACTTGCCCTGGACGAGAACCTTTTTGCTGCACATCAGGCTGGAAAATCACACTTGTAGGAAGCAGATTCACCCACACAGCGGAATCAAGATATGCACCCATAGAAGGTGAGGCCCTGGCTGTCGCAGATGCCCTAGATAAGGCCAGATACTTTGTCCTTGGATGCGACAATCTCATCATCGCTGTAGATCACAAGCCACTTTTAAAAATACTTGGAGACAGATCCCTAGAGGACATTCCAAATTCCCGCCTCCGAAACCTCAAGGAAAAAACACTACGTTACCGATTTCGTGTAACCCATATACCAGGTGTGAAGCACCGTGCAGCTGACTGCCTCTCACGCCACCCAGCAGGAAAATCTGAGCAACTGAAACTACCTGATGACATAGCTTCTATTAGCTATGCTCTTCCACCATCTCATTTCCTTGCTGGTATACGTTCCAATGATGATCCTGACAACATGGAAGATAACTTAGTTGCTGCAGCAAGCACAACACTCAGCTCTCTATCCATTCAATCAGTCACGTGGGACAGAGTCCGCATAGCCACTACAAGTGATGTCAACATGCATCAACTACTTCAGCTCATTGAATCAGGCTTGCCTGAGTCCAGGCATGAGTTTCCCCCTGCCCTACGGGAATACTTTCAGTTCCGTGAATACCTCCACTCTTTAGATGGAGTCATTCTATATAAGGACCGCATTGTTATACCCCCCTCCCTTAGGCAGGAGATCCTTTCAGTCCTACACTCTGCCCACCAAGGAGTAACTGCAATGATCTCAAGAGCTGAAGCCTCCGTCTTCTGGCCAGGAATCACACCTGATATAACTTCTGTTCGTGCACAGTGTATTCAGTGTAATCGCATTGCACCTTCCAACCCCAGTGCTCCACCAACCCCTCTCATTTCTCCAGACTATCCATTCCAATGCCTATGTGCTGATTTTTTCCACCACAAGGGGACAAATTACCTTGTCATTGTTGACAGATATTCAAACTGGCCAATAGTCGAGAAATCATCAGAGGGAGCAACTGGTTTAATCAACTGCCTAAGGCGTACATTCGTCACTTTTGGTATTCCAGACGAGCTTGCAACAGATGGCGGACCAGAATTTACGGCTACAGCCACACGGCAATTCATGAAAGATTGGGGTGTACATCACCGATTATCATCAGTCGCATTTCCACACAGTAATTGCCGAGCAGAAATTGGAGTAAAGACAGTGAAGCGCCTTATCTCAGACAACACCGCCCCTAATGGTGACCTAAACACTGATCTGTTCCAACGTGCTATGCTCCAGTACAGGAATACCCCTGACAGGGACACCAAGTTGTCTCCAGCCATGTGTGTTTTCAACCACCCTATCCGAGACTTCATTCCAATCCCACCAGGAAAATACAAACCTCACAACACTTGGCAGGAGACTATGTTTGCAAGAGAAGAGGCTCTTCGCATCCGCCATATGCGCTCAGCAGAACGCTGGACAGAACATACCAAGCGCCTCCCACCATTGATCATTGGTGATCACGTCCGCATTCAAAATCAAATTGGTCCACATCCCTTGAAATGGGACAAAACGGGAGACGTCCGCATTCAAAATCAAATTGGTCCACATCTCTTGAAATGAGACAAAACGGGGATTGTCATTGAAGTCCGTCAGTTTGACCAATATGTCGTCAAAATGGATGGCTCTGGCAGAGTCACCACACGGAACAGAAAGTTCCTCAAAAAATTTATACCTGTGAAATTACTTGAACCCACAAGGACCATAGACACTGACTTACTTCACAAGACAGCATATATGTCTCCACAGGTACATAATAAGGAGCTTCCTCAACACCATGATAAGGAGCCAGATGCAAAGCCACTGTCAGACCACATTGACATACCACTAGTGCCAACCCAGAAAACCTCAAGACCTCGTTTCCTAGCAACTGACTCACCTATGGTTCCTGTCGAAAGAGAAGCACATTCACCACTTTCCAAATCGCCCGCAAAACACAGACCTGACATGCAGGAGCAGACACCCTCAGAAAACCGACCATCGTTTGTTGATGGTAACAATATGGAGCCCCAAACTTGTCCCACACCAAACCATTCACCTCCTGCAGCTCAGATGACACCACGCCTCTCCGGACGCACTACTCACGCTCCAGAATGGCATGCTGATTACGAAATAAATACCTGAATTTCACATTTAGCCCTAATTCATCAGGCTTTTTATTTTCTTTTCTTCCATCTCCAAAAAGACTTGGGGGAGATATGGGGTAATCAGATTTATCCGGAACTTATATGCTATGTTACGATTGGTTCTATCTTTTATTTTTTGTGGACATGTGCTATCCTAGGTATGTGCACTAATTTATTGTTTATTTGATCAGTCTATCATTCAACAATCAATTTCATAGCACTCAAATATGAATTGCTTTTGTTTCAGATGACTGTGTTCATTGCGTATTAAACATATGAAGCAAATAGACATCGTTCTTATTTAATTGGTCTCTGTTCCAAGACCTATATAGTTTCAGCTCGAAAGCAAGTGTCGCTTTCAAGCGCCGTGATAACGGCGAAGCGCTTACTTAAACGAGCAAAGAAATGTAAAACACTGAACAAGCGGAAAAACATCAAACAAAGAGATATCACCCATTGTAAATTTTCATGTAAAGGTGTTTCAAAGAAAAGAGTAAAAGCACCCCTGACCACTTTTCGAAATGTTTTAAAAACCCAAAAACAT